CATTCTTCCTAGTATATATATTTTACTCATTATCACCAACATGTACCTGATGGCTAATCTAGATTCTACAAAGTCCCTAGTTGGTATCTAGCTAGGAGGTCCATGCATGCTGAGAATGACACAATTTTCATTTCAGAAAAAAAAAAAGTGACAATGCAAAGGTTAATTTGAGAAGCAGAGGGGAAAAGGGAAGCATTTCAGGTAAAAGAGAGTTATCCATACTAAAGAAAAACACTGAGAAAAGAAGAGGCAAATGTAACTGGTGAAGGTTTCCATTTGACGTCAGTGGTTGTTAAACAAGAGCATTTTCACAAAAGGAATTAGAGAACCACAAGAGTATACGTATGATCAAAAATTCCCAAATAAATTTAGTTACAGTAAAGCAAGCTGCTTATGCAAAAGAAACCCCCTTGAAATGAAATGGACGTGAAAAGAATTCTACTCGTTGGCTCAAGGACAGAGATTGTCTTTTGGAGAAAAGACAGACTTTTATGTAATGCTTAGACTTTATGTAACATCAGAGAATGCAGAGAATTCAGAGAGCACAGAGAAAGCCTACGATTTAAATCAATTCGCAAATGCATTTAGTTCTGGATTACAATTTATTCAGCATTAGAAAATTCATACTGAATAGAAACCTTGTTAAAGTTAGGAACATGAAGGGGCGCCTGGGTGGCTCAGTCAGTTCGGCATCTGCCTTTTGCTTGGGTCATGGTCCCCAGGGTCCTGGGATCGAGCCCCGCATCGGGCTCCCTGCTCTGTGGGAGCCTGCTTCTCCCTCTCCCTCTGCCTGCCGCTCCCCCTGCTTGTGCTCTCTGTCAAATAAATAAATAAAATCTTTTTTAAAAAAAGTTAGGAACATGGAAAAGCCTTAGCCAATACCCACAGCTTACTCAACATAAGAGAATTCATATTGGAGGGAAATTCTGCAAACGTGTTGAATTCGCCAATCCTCACATCTTACTCAACATGATAGCATTCATACTGAGATGAATATAAATGAAATAAATATATATAAATATATAAATGATGTGAATGAGGAAAGGCCTTTAGACATGACTTTGCCCTCGTCAATGTGAGATAGTTCTTGCTGGGGAGAATCCTACAAATGTATTATATTTGGGAAATCCCAAATACAGACATGGTTGCACTGTTGGCAAGCATTAGAGAATTCATCTCGGAGAAACCCCTATGAATGTAATAAATGGAGAGAGGAAGGAATGTGTTCATCTCCTACTCAGCACGAGAGAATTCATATAAAATAGAGATAATATGAATCTATGGTATGATCTTTTACCCAAAGCTTATACTTTAGTCATCAAGAGCTAATTTATTATAGACAACAAAATAAAATTTAAAAAATTATAATTCATGGGTCATCCCTGGCTTAGCATGGGAAATTCACACTAGAGATGGCTATTAAGAATTTTTGTTCCATGCTTCAACATTAATCAATAGGAAACCCATATAGAGATAACCAAAGCGGGTAGAAATGTAAAAATCTATTTGATTGTAGGCAATAACTTTCTTATATGAACCAGTATTACACCAAAAGTTACCTACTGAAAAGACGTCTGGCAGAAACAACTGATAAAGTCACAGCAGACAGTGACTTCAACAGAGGAGGGGACTATAAAGCACAGATGAGTACAGGGACTGGCCCTGAAGACCTTCATTTCTGACTATAGCAGCGCCACTCACTCTTGGTCCGCTCCTGCCTGTGCCAATCTGAAGGGTCAGTCGGAGAGAGGGCAGGGCGGTCTAGCCAGGAGAATGCCTGCAACTGCCCTTCCATTCTTGACAGCGACTCATGCAGTTCAAAAAGCAGAATACCATCCAGGCATAGTTTGCCAGGCCTGTCACCTGGGCCATTGTGGGGAAGAACTCCAGGAAGAGGCAGGTACCGGGGATCCTCGGCAGAATGCAGCAAGAAAGCAAGCTCGCGCAGCTCCTGCTCAGGCAGGGCACGCACCCAGGACCTGTTTCTCAGCGATGGAAAAGCACAGCCGCGCCCTCCGGATGCCGCTGCTCGGGGCTGCGACCCGCCTATTGCCGAGGGCACAGTCGAACTGGGTTCAGAAGGTCCACTCCCGGGATGGCCCAAGCACACGGTGGAGCGCGTACCCCTCTGAGCATGTGCAGCAACGCGGGTCTCCAAGACCACCCGCAGGCTGGAGGATTCCCTAGGACTCGAGCCTCAGAAGAGCGCTTCTACTTCTGAGTCCCGGGAGGCCTTCTGAGCGCTCTGCTACGCGGCTAGGACTTCTTGCAGGGCGAGCGTGCAGAGTGGAAGCAGTAAAGGGAAAGGGGGCAGGGGGGAGGCCCCGTAGCAACCAGGCCCGCCACGGCACTCGTTTCCTCCCAAAGGAGTCCCGCGGTCAACGCTCCAGTCGGCCAGGACTGCTGTGCACCCAAACCTGCGACGCGCGGCGAGCCAGGGCAGCCCACCCAGGCCTAGGGGCCAGGGGTTTTCTTGGAGGTTCTGCGAGCATGCAGCATCCCTGTGAGGACTTTAGCTACTCAGGCCACAGCCCTCCAGATGTCAAACTGATACAGCACGGCCCGAGGCCGCACACACACAGAACCAGATGTTCACCTAAGTCACACTGTTTGCATAAACCACCGGGCCAACTTGGAACAGCGACGCTTGGAACACAAAAACCCTCCCACCAGGCAGAACGTGACAGGGGCTTAGTGGTGGTCTCCCAGGAGCCAGATAAGGACCAGTCCTCCTGAAACGGGATTTTCGGGGGGCATGCACGGGCCTTGAGCAATCCAGGCCTCCTAGGTTTACCCTTTACAATTCGTTTTCACTTAATGAGAAGGCTTAGTGGCCGACGGAAAAAATGTTTTCCGTTGAGTATGAGCGGTAATCCTGGGTGAGGTTGGAACCGGGCACGGGCACAATCGTGCAAGGAGGCGGCAAAGGGGGAGCCCACACTATGGGGAGGTACAGCAACGGCCCGAGCACGTTCCCGAGTGTGTATGAGAAAACAACGTGAACCGCCACCACAGACCGGGAGCCTGCCCTGGGCTAAACCCTGGGGGCTCTAAGATGCACCCTACATCAGTCACAACAGCCCTTTAGGCAGGTGGTCTTCAGCTATGACCCAAGGGGCCAGAGAGTGGTGGGGACAAGCCTTCTCCCCTGTGGATTGATACATCCGAACAGCCCGGGCAGAGGATGGACTGGAAGAACACCTCACATGTTTCTCGGTTCCAAAACGACCAAGTCACACTAGAAATGCTGGCGTTGTAGGACTAACAAATCTGCGTCCTTCCCCGGGCCCCACCCAAACCGTCAGGTCTTCTCCTTCTCGGCAAGCACCTGTCCCTGTCTTATCAGGATCTGGGGAGAGTCCCACCAGGGCCAAAGACCAGGTACTTCTGCAACTGGGGGTTTCTCAATCGTCCCTGGGACACTAGCAGACTAACTCTACTAACCTCCTCCTGCCTCCTGATCGTGATCTCCGAAAAGAAGGTTAGCAGGTCACCTCTCCTCTAGAAACGAACAGGTAGCATCTCCAAGCCGGGCCATCACTTACAAACGCACGAAGAATGCATTCGCAGTGGGGAGCAGTACCCACTCACACGCCTGAGGGAGAACGGGCTCTTCTCCCGGGACTCCTACTCAAGGCTTGGACAGTCACTTCCCAGAACTCTGCGCCGGAGATCTGGGCTACGAATCATCCAAACCACCCGGGGAATGTTAGTTGACGCACAGAGGGGAAAGGGAAAGAGAGGGAGAGAGCAGTATGTTCCAAATGGAAGCCTCCACACGTGTATGGTGGACTGCATGAGGGTTTTTGTCACAGGCTTCTCTCACAGTGCGTGGCACCTGCTGGCTCTAGCTCGGAAGGAATTGGGTGCATCTGAGCTGAGAGCCGACCACGCACCGCCCGAAGGGTTCTGCTTGGTGACCAGGCAGCTACAAGGGCAGCACACACTTGGCCTCTTTTTCCCCAGACCCTACGGAAACACACACGTTCCCCAAGGGCACTTGCAGGCTTTTTTAGCAGGCCAAGCTACCAGGGGCTGCCACTGTCAGAGACCCAAGATTCTCTCGTTCTCTAGGCAGTGTCGTCAGAAAGCAAAACCACTCTCCCGGGACGCCCGGGGTCCCCGAAACGGGAGCAACCCGATTTATTTCAGGAGAATGAGGCATCGGGCTTTCCTCGTCTGTGGGTGTGACCGGCCCTCCGGCCCGGCTACCAGACCCTCCTCGGGGCCACTTGCCCCGCCTGGGCCGGACCGCCGCTCTCTGACCCCTGGGCCTGGGAAGGGCACGGGTCCCAGGGAACGGCCCCGCCCCCAAGATGGCCGCGCCCATGTGCCGCTGAGGACCGCAGCAGGCGCCGCTACCGTTCCTTATTGCGACGAGCTGAAGGGAGCGGAGAGCGTGGCTTTGCGGGACGGAGGGTGCGCAGCAGAACGGCGCGGGAGAGAGCGCCTCGGCCTCGGAGGCGGCGGAACCGGAGCCGCTGAGACCCTCCGCGCGCGCCTAGCCGCCCGGAGACGCCATTTCCGTCCCGCCCCGCCCCCACCCCCACCCCCCAGCGCGCCGCCGTGATGTGCGACTCGTCGCGGGAAATATTCGCACGCTCTGGTCACTGCTTCGCGCCTCGGACGAACCCCGGCCGAATCACTGTCCGCGACACGCGCCATCTTGCCCATTGACAGTGGGGACCGCCCCCCCAACCCAGTGGCTCGTGCGCGTGCGCCTCGCTCCGACCTCGGGCTGCGCGGCGACGGGAGCGGAAGTGGTCCGCTGACCCGGGGGCGGTGCGAGGTCCCACCGGTGGTTGTTCTCCGCCCCGACTGTCGGGTTGTGGGAGGCGAGGGCCGGGAGGCGGAGCGGACACGGGCTGCAGGGGAGGGCGGGGGTGGTGGGTTCGCGCCTCTGCGGGCTCGCGGCACTGGGCGGCCGGCTGAGTGTGGGCAGCGGGATGCGGGCGACGGCAAGTGAGACGATCAGTGAGTTTGCTGAGTGCCTAGTAAGTGCGAGGCGCCCCTGGGGTTCCCGGGCATCTTCCCGATGGCCTGTGAGCAGGTGCTACGATGATCTTCATTTTATTGCGAGGAAGCAAGAACAGAAAGGCTCGGACAGCTGTCCAAAGTCACACAGCTAGTCAACCCCGGGGGATCCTTCCGTCTTCCCCCCCCCGCCCCCCCCCCCCCGCCTCCCCCCCGCCTAGCACTTAGCCTTTCTAACTAACGTTCCCGAAATTGATCAAGTTTGTGCTTGCTGTCGGCCTTCCCTGCTCGAATACAGCTCCACAAGGTCGGGGACCTCGGATTGTTTTGTACCCTGATGTATCCGCAGCCCGTAGGACAGGCACATAGCGGGCCCTCAGCATTTTCACTGAATGAATAAAAGCGACAGAGCAGGCAATCCGTTCGATTCCGGAGCGGGCAGTGCTCAGCTCCTTGTCTGCTGATAGCTGGGGTCCTACTAAACGTTACTCTTCAAACTCAGAGGAGGCCTTGTGCTTCCTTCCATAAATTAAAACATTTGAGTTTTCCTCAACTTCACTCCGTCACAGGGGCTGCTAATGACATCTCCTGTGTGGTCCTTCTTTCCAGGAGCAGGGTGCGTCACTGAGACCACTGCTCACCAACTGCAGATTCCAGCTCGCCCGCTCCTGGGCTTCCTAGTCTACAGAAGAGCCAGTGTGCAGCCTCAGAAGGTGAGTCCCCCCGGGTCAGAGGCACAGACATGGTGTTGCAGGGATGGTCCCGGCTGAGATGGGTTTGTCTCTGAATCCTTTGGTCCTGCATCCTTAGGAACTAGAGAGCTCTTATGAGGGGCCTGGGAGGAGGAGCCTCAGCCCGGGGCAGAGGATGCAGGGTCCCAGGTCAGATCCAGAACCCAGTGCAGGGGGTGCAGACTCCCGGGACAGACCCGGACCCCGGGGCAGGGGGTGGAGGCTTAGAGGACGGCAGGTCCAAGAAGGGCTGGACCCGCAGCGGCCTCTGTCCCTCCTCCAGCTGCGAGACAGCATGCCCACTGTGTGACCGTGGGCAGTTGGACCCCATCGGAGGAGAGAGATGAAATGTGCAGGTGGACGGAGGGATGCTGCCATGAGGCAGTGGCCTGCCGCAGTCCTGCAGGGGCAGGATCAGGGTGACGAGGATCACTGCCAGCCTGGAAGGACTCTGTCCTGTCCTGCCACGCCTGTGTGCACGGCATATACCCGCCTCTTTTCCATCGGCTGTTTCTGGAGTTGCGTCAGCCCTAGAGCGTGAACATGCCACCCACCTCTGCACAAATGTTGAATCTCCCCCTAGTCTGAGCAAAGTGCAGAGCACTTTTGTTTTCTTTTTGCCTCGGTAAAATTTGCAAGTAGCCTGCAGGTACGCTGTCTTCTGGTTCTGCTGCCTCATTTCGGTGCTACTGTGACGGGGCCTGAGAGCAGGAGACGTTAAGCTGCATGGAGCTGAGCGCTGGTGTCCGAGAGGCTGCCGCCGGGGTGGCTGGGGCAGGAGCTACTCTGTAGAAGCTCCTGGCGGAGACTTTGCTTAGAAAACTGCCAAGCAGGGGCGCCTGGGTGGCTCAGTCGGTTAAGCGTCTGCCTTCGGCCCAGGTCATGTTCCCAGGGTCCTGGGATCGAGCCCCACGTCGGGCTCCCTGCTCGGTGGGAGGCCTGCTTCTCCCTCTTCCTCCCTACCTGCAGCTCCCCCTGCTTGTGCATGTGTTCTCTCTCTCTCTCTGTCAAATAGATAAATAAAATCTTTAAAAAAAAAAAAAAAGAAAGAAAACTGCCCAGCGGGGAAGAGCAGGCAATTGAATGGACATCCTGGGAAAGGAGGAAGTCACGAGCCAGGACCGGGGTGGAAGCGGGCAGTGAGGGGCAGTGTGCGCAGGGTGACAAGGTCAGTGGCTTCCAGATCCTCGTGGAATGACCAGTGCTGGGCTCTTCACTCCCTTCCCGCTCCCTGCCCCTTCCCCAGCCCTGGTTTGTCTCCGTGCTGCAAGCCACAGCCAGAGGTCCCCGTCCTCCAGACTCTGCTATCTGTCGGTCACCTCTGGGGCTCCGTGTAATCAGTTTTCATTTCCATTTTATGAGTGATAATGTTCACATTCAAAAATGCAAGTAAAGAAAAGCAGCAAACTGAATCAGCAGTCAGAGAAAAGCAGTGTCAACATTTTAGTAAACGCTCTGGTACACTGCTGATCCTCAGTGTGTACGTACAGGTGAACAAATGAGCTTGCGCTGCCCTTGTGTTTTTGTGATCTGCTTTTAAATATGTTGAGAAATGCAACAAGACTCATTTGGGGCAACTTGGAGGCCCGCAGACACAGGTCCTGTGCAAAGCCCACACGAGCCTATCCACGTCGCAGGGACCGGGCTGGAGCTCCCAGGCTCGTTGCACATCATTCTCCCCAGGTGCAAGGGGGATGGTCATCAGGCTGGTGGGGACGGTCTCATGGCTGAACGCACTGATCTCGACCCCCCTCATTCTGTCTTCCTAGATCCCCGCCCTTTGTCCGGGGCAGAACAGGATGGCCGCGGCCCGGGTGAGTTCCTGATTTCCCCCCTCCCTTGTTTCCAGGGAACTTGAGGCAGCTTTGGGGCACCTATATCGTAACCTTGACAAATCGGTCGCTCCCTTCTGCCTGGCTGTTTTCCATTCAAGCTGTAATCCACCTCCGGGTCCTCCGATCCTTCCACTCGCCACAAAAACCCAAAATAGAAAACAACAAAAGAGAGAAGGAAAGTGACTGTTCTCATCTACTTCTTCCTCTGGGAAACGCACCTCCTCTTTGTTCTTCTGCTTCTCAGGGAAGCTCGTTGAAGCCCATAGACTCGCTTTTTCTGTGTCTTTGCTTCCACCTCACTGTTTGCTTTTTCGTTATATGCAAATAATGAAAGTAATTCCATGCTTGATGTTCTGTGCACTGAAGGACAGTCCCAACATCCCTGTTTCTTCGGCCCCCGGTGCCACGTTTCTCCTCCGAGTGCCCCCTGGTAACAGTGCGGGGATGGTGTGGGGTGGCTGCGTTTCTGTGAGCTTCCTGAGCTGACCACAGGTCCGTAGGCCGTGGTGGGTGAGTGTGCACAGATGCCGAGCCAGCCCCGCTCCCGTCTTGTTTTTCCCGCCTGGTTCTACTCTGCGTGGTGTTGCTCCTCAGTGCAGAAAGAAGACTTCCGTTTCCATGCGGTGCTCTGGATGTTTCATTCAACTGTGGCTCTCTTTGTGCATAGTCAGCATTTGGATCTTCTTTTTCTGTTCTGTACGGTGCCTCTCGGACGACTCTTTATGTGTGTGTTCAATAGTGCGGGTATTTAAGGAGGATTCACCTAGAAGTTGGATTTTGGGGTCAAAGGTATTCATACTTGAATTGGCTGTCCCAAATCCTAGACTAATTATGACTCTCCCCAAATGTTAAAGACCAGATAATTTCTGTGTTCAGCTTTTCCAGGCTGTTGAAAGTTGAAAAGGAAACCAGTTGGTTTTATGGAGCCACTTATCTTTAAATTTGATAAAGATATTACAGCAAGTAAGTTATACACCTGATTCACTTGAGACTATGGATGTCAAGATTCTAAACACATAGTCTGAACGGAGTGTTGATATGTTGAGTCGAGCACTGTGAAAAATGATGTGTACGTATGGTAAAAAATTCAAAACAAAAGCTTGTTTAACAAAAGGTGAAAAGTCATTCTCCCCGTCACCCCATGCCCCGTGTCCTTCCTTGTTTCATACGTTCTTGGCGAGATCACGTATGCACGTGTCTTCGCACCTAAGAATGCCATTCACTTTGGAACTCTTCCTTCTTCACATATTCCAGCACATTCTGGACTTCTCCACGACCATTCCGTTTCACTGTGTGTTTGAACCACCCCGGGTTTTTCCACCTGGGCACGCTTGACATTTGGGGCCAGGCAGTGCCGTGTTGTGGAGGGTGGCTGTGTGCCCTGGACGCTATCTAACCGTCCCTGCCCCGGGCTCTCCTGATGCCAGTGTCCCCACCTCGTTCCCCTCGTGGTGACAGTGAAGAGTTTCTCCAGACATTGCCACCCGTTCCCCGAAGGGCTAAATCACCCCCGGGTGGTACCCCATTTACAAAAATGGCTCTGTGATATTCCACTGGCTGGAAATACCGTCCTGTATATTTGCCTTCTGCCAGGGCTGAGCATTGAGAATAGTCTTGTCTTTTGATATCATAAACGATGCAGCGACACTCAGCCGTGTACGGTTCCGTTTGTTCCTTGTGAGCTTGTCTCATCTGCAAGATAGCTGTCTGGAGGTGAGGATTCTAGGTCGGGGGCTCTGCGCATCGTGAATTTTGACAGCTGAGGGCCTCCGAGCCAGGTGTTCCCCTGCGCTCCCCAGTGTGGTCTTGGTCCCCAGCACCTGAGCTGTCACTTGGGAGGGGTGACAGGAGGGGTGTCTGCTCTGAGAGTCCCACCTTCCTGTCACTGTTCCTGCTGCCCAGGGAGTGTCCCGGCTCGTCTCCCATCTGCAGCGCTGAGTAACCGGCTGTCCGGTGAGGCCTGTTGGGGCCCTGTGGGTGCCACCTGTCTCCCGGACTGAAGACCGGCCAGTGGGGGATGAGGGGTCAGGAGGAGATAGATGCAGGTGTCAACGGGGGGGGGGGGGGGGGTCCTGCTCTCTCTCTGAGAGGAATGTGGGCACTCAGAAAAGTGAGCGTTTGTTTGGTGCCGACAAGACCAAACACAGACCCTTCCTTCCTTACCTCCGTCTGCTGACCAGGTCAGACTCCCACCCTCCTGCTTCCTGTTCCCTCTCATGGTGGATTAGGCACGATTAGCAGTCGGGTGACTGTGCAGCCGCCTTCTGGAGGGAAACAGCCCAGTCCTTGCCTACTGTGTCTTCCCTGCCTGCCTTTCTCCAGCGTGTCTCCTCTGCCCTCACACAGAACACTTTATCTCTGACCCTTCTGGTCACCAGATCTGGAGAAGGTTCCCGCACACCACACAACTCGCTGCCGCACCAGATGGGTGTCCTACACGTGACTCAGCTTTGACACTGGCTCCCTGGAGATAGCATCGGATCCCACAGGTTAAGGGTTCAGTCCCACCACACGGCCACCCCCGGGCCCCCCGTCAGATGCCAGCCCCGAGTTGCAGGCTTTTGACCAGCGGGCCAGTGACGCCCTCCTTGGATTCGATTATTTGCTAGAGCGTCTCATAGGACTCGGGGACACGCTGACTTAACATTTACCAGTTTGTTAAAGAATATGATGAAGGATGCACACGAAGAGCCGGATAAACAGATACGTAGGGCAAGGCCTGGGAGGGCCCTGAGCACAAGAGCTTCTGTCCGTGTGGACTTGGCAAGCATCATCCTCCCGGAATATGGATGTGTTCACGCGCCGGGAAGCTCCCCGAAACCCATGCTCTGGGGATTTTATGGCGGCCTCGTAACGCAACTCCGATCAGTGGTTAACTCCATTTCTAGCCCCTCTTCCATTGCTGGAGAAGGGTGGGTGGGGCTGAAAATCCAGAGCTTGCAGTCACAGCTTGGCCTTTCTGGTCTCCAGCCCCATCCGCTCACCTCGAGTCACCTCATTGGAACACGAGATGCTCCTCGTATTCTTCTCACGTGGGGATTTGTGAGGGTTTTAGGAGCTCTGCAACAGGGACCTGGAGCCAAGAGCAGTACTTATCTCCTATTACCTCACAGTCCTGACCGAGGAGCTGTGTTCAGAACTGTTGTCATAGCTCTATGTCCCCTGCGAAGCCTTCTCTGCCCGCCCCGAGCAGAACTGACTCCTTTGTAGGCTCCGTTCCCTATTCTGCCTCTGCCATTGCCCTGGGAGGACAGGCAGCCCGCCCTCCTGCCCCCCTCCCTTTCCTGTGTGCCTTGGTAAGTGCGGCGTTTCTCCCTCTACGAGGCGAAGCGCCCTCAGTTCAGAGAGGGTGTGTTTGTTTTTATCATTCCTTATATCCTCTGGACTTAGCAGCTTGATCTGTGTTCAGTCAGGGAGCTGAAAGATTGCATTTCCAGAGGAAGCTCTCTTTACCGCCTCTTCTGTTCTCTATAACGTTTAAAATAATTTAGGGGCATGAACATTGCATCCACTACACGGTCTCAAATTGTGCGGCGAACAGCAGGGAACAGTTGTGTCGAGAAAGGCGGGGCAGTGTCGTGTTGAAAGACGTGGGTGTGGCGAGCAGAACGCGTGCATTTTCATCCCTCTGTCCTCGCTGTGCGACCCTGGGCAAGTGCCTTCCCACTGTGCAAAGCCAGTCTGTCCTCCTGCGTCCGGGGTGTCCCGGGGCGGGCGCCAGATTGAATCTCTGCTGCGTGTGGAAGTCTGAGGATGGGGCACAGGGTCCCGATCCCCGAGCCCAGCACTGCGGGCTCATGAGGAATGTGCCATTGCAGGAATCCTTGACCTTCAGGGATGTGTTTGTGGACTTCACCCTGGAGGAGTGGCAGCAGCTGGACTCCGCTCAGAGGAACCTCTACAGGGATGTCACGCTGGAGAACTACAGCCACCTGGTGTCCGTGGGTGAGGGACGGCTGCGCAGCGTGACTGGGACACGCGCCCTCGTGTCACCTCAGCTGCTGCCCGCTCCGGGGCCTCCGGAGCCCGGAATGAGCTGGGGCCTCAGGCTCACCGCTGGGAAGTCAGAGCCCGTGTGCACCCCGCCCCGGATGTCTGTGCTCTCGCCCTCTCGGTGACTGGTCTGCACTGAGGGGCACAGAGCCGTCCTCGGGGCCCGCACCGAGGCCGGACCGTGTCGGTTGGCAGGGAGAGGCCCTGGTTCTGGAACACGTCTGGCATTACTAACGAAGTCTGTGTCGTTTCCCCTCCTCAGGATACCTCGTTGCCAGCCCGGATGAGGTCTTGAGATCGGGACGAGGAGAAGAGGCCAGGAGGGCAGAGGGAGGGCCGTCGGCGTGGAACTATCCAGGTGAGCCCGCACGCGGCCCGTTGGGCCAGGGCAGGGGACCAGGAGGTCAGCGAGAGCTGGGCGTCAGGGGCAGGCCTGGGGGCTCTTGTCAGAGTCCCTAGACTCGGGGACCTGACTTGGCTTCGATGAAACCAGCCGCGTGGTAGGCACGTGACATCCCCTGCCCCCGCCACCCTTCCGCAGCCCCCTTGTTCTGCTTGGGGTTCAGGTCCCAAGTCCACGTCCCGGTATCCTGGGTGGCCTTCCGCCTTTCCTGCTCCCCCTCCTTTCTGGAAGCTTTGAGGCTGTTTCTCCTCCCGTGGGCATTTGCCTTTTCCTCAGAAGAGATGTGCTGTAGGTGTGACGCGCCCTCTTTATCTGTCGTTCTGTGGGCCCTTTACATCTAACGCTGGGAGTCCTCTTCAGCCTCGGGGAAGTCATCCCGCCTGGCTTGCTGGAGCTGGTGAGGACCAGAAGCTTTGCTGGTGGCCTCCAGCTCGGCCGGGCCGGGCAGCCTTCGTGCTCTCTCCGTGCTTCTGTCGTGCTCAACCGCGTCAGCCTTCACGGGTCCCAGTCCTCGCTTCTCAGTCCCCCCATCTCTTCCAGATGTGACCCGACTCCGCCTGTTGTCAGCTTCCTGCTCTTACCACTGCCTCCCTCCCACTCACCTGTTTTGTCCTCCGTGTCATCTCTGTCTTTCCCCAGAACACAGGGGACCCGGAGAGGACATCCCTCGCGGGCGGCCTGCTTCAGTGAGCGCTGCCTCCGTCCTGGGCACAGCGGCTCTTTGCCTCCTCCGTGGGTTTGGTTGGTTTGGCTCTGGGCCCCTTGTGGGGATCCACACACTCTTCAGACGCCGGTCTTCCTCTTCTTCTGGCGCGCTCCCAGCGGCCACCCCGACGGCTTCCCCACAGCCCGCCTCTGCTGGGCTGTGCACCCTCTCTCTGTCGGGGCCTCCTGGGCTGGCCTGCACCTGCCTCCCCCACGGCTCTTCGGGGGTACGGTGTCCTCTTTGTGCTCCGTCAACCCCATACCTGCTGCCGTGTCCAGATCCATCAGCATTTCTGCTCTGCTCGTGGCCTGCTTTTTCCTGCTCTGGGGTTTCCAGGAATTGAACTGGCGGAGCCTCGTTCTCAGTTCAGTGGTGCCCTGGAAGGAGGAAGCGCAAGCTCAGAGGCGCAGCCCCCTCCCTGAGTCCAGTAACCTTTCATGAACACCTGTTCTGTTGGAAGGAACCGTACCCACGTTGGGTGTGCGTGCAGGGCAGTCCGGGATCCAGGTCATGTCAGCACATTCCCAGCCACACCTCCACGTTCTGCCTCTTCTCGGGGTTTCTCTTTATAATTCTGCGGATGGGTACCTCCTGGGTCCCGGGAATCCCTTCATACCTGCATTTCTGGAGATTTCTCTTTTATCTCCCCTCTATGAAAACTCAGGATTTATCTCACTTCCACCTTGGCCTTCTCCTCAGCTCTGCACAATGCTTGTTAAGTTATTATTTGTAGTTTTCCTGATGGTTACATTTGTAAGTGTGAATAATAGAGCTCAGCTTCTATGTCTGCATTCCATTTGGTAACTCCTTCTAAACCTAGCTAGGTGTCTGTGGCTTATTCTCTGCCTAGAACACAGAACCCCAGAGAGAATGCCTGCATCTTATTCTTACTGTCCCGGTGTGGGGCTGGTGGAACATTCCCTAAACAATCTTTCCTTTTGGAGGAGGGCAGAGGAAGGAGGTTCGGTGCTCATCCACAGCCAGGGGTCACTGGCTCCGGCTTTGGAGCTCACAGCCCAGACTGGATTTCTGGCTTCTTGGCTCGCTAGCTGTCCCTCTGCACCCTCGCCTCAGAGCCTCTTTGCCTGCTTGTAGAGTGGGGCTGATGCTAGAACTTACGGGGTTGTCAGTTTAATGAGTGGATGAATGTAAAGCACCAGAACTGGTGCCTCGACCCCCGGGAGCTTTCGGTAGTGGGTATCACTCTTTTTATTGTTGTTTTTAATAAAACATGTCTTACTACAGTCTTTGTTAACCCAAGGCAGTCACATAGTGACCTGTGGACCCCGCAGGATCCTCACTGTTAGGCCCCACCTGATGGAAATCGTTCCAGAAAGCCCCGGGTGGTCCTGGTTCTGTGCACTGTGAGGGACACTGCAGATAGCCCGACGCCCATGGCCAGGTAGGATCCGTTTTAAATATCCCCTGCGAAGAGTTCAGAGGCTCGGGAGACACGGCCAGGCCTCACCGAGGAGCATGGGGTCGGGCGGAGGAGACGACAGGAGCAGGTGGACAGCTTTTTCTCTTCCGCCATTCCTCCAGACTTCAAGCTGCTTCGGGACTGCATATTCCCCTGGGCCTATAGGAAATTTCTGGCAGGTCCCAGCAATTCTCTGGTTGTTCTGATGGGGCCCCTGGGTGACTCCGTCAGTTGGGTGTCTGACTCTTGATATTGGCTCAGGTCGTGAGCTCAGTGTCCAGGGCTCCAGCCCTGCATCGGGCTCTCCGCTCAGTGGGGAGTCTGCTTGTCTCCCTCTCCCTCTGCCCCTCCCCCTACTCACTCTCTGTCTCTCTCTCTCAAATAAATAAATAGATCTTTTAAAAAAATTCGCTGGTTCTTCTGAGAGAAGTCTTCTAGGAATGGTTAGTCTCAAGAGTGGCCTCACTCTAGTAATCCGAATTGTCCAATCCCATGGAGTAGGGTGAAGTCTGAAGTTCATCAAAAGGTTGTTAAGCTTTTCACGGAAAGGTCTTTGCCTTTGTGAATTTTCCCTGTCTCTTGTTTTCCGTTTTGTTCACTTCTCCTTTTACCTTTATTTCCTTTTTCCTACTTACTTTGGGTTTACTTTGCTGCTCTTTAGCCTTTCTCCCCAACATTTTATTATAAAAATTTCACACCGAACAAGTGAAAGAATTATAGTTTGAACACCCACAGAATTCCCCCTGGAGTCTACAATGAACATTTTGCTGTATTTGCTTTTTCTTTTGTCTGTACTGATTCCTCTGTCCTTCCATCAGTCCTCTTTCTTTTTGTGGTGAGTTTCATAGTAAGTTTCAGAGATCGGTACCCTTCACCCCTAAATACTGCCAAATGCATATCATTAACTAGAGGTCACAACTTTTTAATATTGTTTATTCTTAATGCTTAATAGGTATTTTAATAAAAAGAAATTAATAAGTAGCACCATATGGCATTTGGTTGTATATAATATTTTAATATAATTCACATTTTCATGTATTTTCATTATACGTTTATGCAGATGTGACTGTTCTTTTTTTAAGTGAGGTTTATTGAGGCATAATATATATACCCTGAACTTCACCTTTGTTAGGTGTATGATTCTATAGATTTAACAAAGATTTAGTGATGTAACCACCAACAGCATCAACATATTGGACTTCTTCATTCCCCTAAAGCATCCCTTTGTGCCCCTTTGTAATTAAAATTCTCACTTACATATCTGGGATTTGGATTTGGATTCTTCTCATTTCTATTCTTCTAGTTTTATTCCTTCTAGAATATAAGTGCATTTCATAGTAAATAACTTTATGTGTCTTGCTTCTTTCACTTACCTTAACACTTTTTAGGTTCATCCATGTTTGATATATGTCAGCATTTTGTTCCTTTTTGAAGGTAAATAATGCTATATTTGTTTATTCACTAAGCAGTTTACACACATTTGAATTTTTTGAATTTTTGGTTATTATGAAAGAAGCTGGTATGAACATTCATGTCCAGGTGTTTGTATGCACACTTATTTATCTTCTTAGGTAAATATCTGGATTGGGATTGCTTGGTCATAATGGTGAATGTATGTTTAACTTCCCAAGACAACATCACACTGTTTCCCAGCACGGCTGTACCATTTTTGTTGACCATCAACAACATGAGAGTTCTAGGTGTTTTGCATCCTTGCTAGCACTTGGTATTATGAGTATCGTTAGTCTTTCTTTCTAGTCCTTGTGTTGGAGCATCTCATTTTGATTTTAATTTGCACTTCTCCAATAACTAATGTTTAGCGTCTTTTCCTGTGCTCACTAGACTCTCTACTTCTTGGGTGAACTGTTTGTGGTAACTTTTTGCCATTTTTGTTGCTATCAAATGGTTAAGAGTTCTTTATATATTCTGGATGCAAGTCCTTTAGCACCTATGTGTTTTCCATGTATTTACTCCCAGGCTGTGGCTTGTGTTTATCTTAATAGGATCTTTCAAAAAAAAAAAAGACATTCTTTATTTTGATAATGCCTAGTTTATCAAGCTTTTCTTTTATGATCCATGCCTTTTGTGCCCTATTAAACAATTCTCTTTCTAATCCTAATCCATGGTAACAAAGAGTTTCTCATATGATTTCGTTCAGAAGATTTACAATTTTTGGCTCTTATATTTAAGCCAATGGACATAATGAGAGAAGTATTTTTTACCTGGTGTGAGGTAAGGATCAATGTTCTTTCTTTTGCCTATGCATATTCAATTATTCCAGCAGCTTTTCTGAAAATACTATATTTCCTCTATCAGTTTACCTTGGCTCCCTTGTTGAAAACAGTTGAACACATATGTGTTGATCTATGTGCCTGTTCACATCAGGTGCTATGAATCTTCCAGCTTTGTTCTTCCTTTTCATAATGTCTTGGCTATTCTAGGTCCTTGATAGTTTCGTGTAAGTTTTAGAATCAGCTTGTCAGTTTCTACATAATAGCCTGTGGGGATTTTGTTTGGGATTGCATTCAATCTGTGGATCATTGAAATACCAATATTGAGTCTTCCAATTCATGAACGTGATGTATCTATATATTTAGGTCTTTTAAAATCTATCTCAGTAAGATTGTAGTTTTGAATGCACAGGTCTTGCATAGGAAGTGCAATTGCAATTTACTCTATTTTCAGTATATTTACTTTTTGTCAATATCTCTGTATTTTTTTAGTTTAATAGTTGCTCTAGGGATTAAGATACACAGTTAATCTTTTAAATTGTACTTGGGCATATATTTTATTTTGCTTTTTTGTTTTCATAACTTTTAGTTTTGATAT